GGCACTTGTTCCTAGTAGCTTCTTGTTACTACTAGTAAGGCACTTGTTACTAGAAGCGATGCACTTGTTTCTAGTAGCGATGCCCTTTGCTCCTAGCGATGCCAAAAAGCTGATGTAAGGGCCGGTGCCCAAGATCAAATTTGTGCCCGCAGCAAGCGCCTCGGGCGTGCATGGGCAGTCTGTTTTTCGTGCTAGCCCGGTCAGAGGGTGAACCACGATGCCTAGAAATCTGACAAACCAAGAAGTTTTGAAGGTCCCTCTGAAAACATAAAAGAACAAACACATCCTCTTCAACATATATGCCATTGGCAGGAAAAAAGACATTGGGAATCAAATTGCGAAACACTGGTGACGCGACCCGCTATCTGCAGTGGTGACATAGTCACTATGTCACGTTTGCCCGCCACAGCGCCACGCATTTTCACTCTTCAAACGATTTTTTGCGTCGTTATGTGGACGAGGCGCTGCTTCGGCTGTTCCGCGTCGCAGGGATGACAGAGCTGCGTCGGCCGCCACCAAGGATGAAGAGCATGCAGTATCGCACCTTGGTTCTTATCTCCTAGAATCTGGGAAGCTACTGCATGTTTATTTAAGATTCTATCTATCAGTCATCGGCAATCCGCACGTGGGCAAAAAGGAACAATCTGGTAACCGAAGCTAAACCCTGAGAATTCAATCGTAATGAACAAGAATAAGCTTAAATAAGCTTGTCAAGTCTCCAGTGAGGAGTGAGTTGGTCTGCTCATCGCTTTGCTAGTTAGCTATAGGTAGCAATAGGTTGAAAGCCATCGCTAGTAGGTAGGAGGCCATTGCTCTTAGGTTCCTTTTGCTATTGAGGCCCAATGTTTTTTGGGGGGGAGTGGAGCAGAATTTTAATCCACCCAGTCATCACGAGATCACAATGATGCAAGACGATGCTGGCAGTGGAACAGGCGATTTTTAACAAAAAATCTGTGTCGTTCTGATTCTATGCTTGCTTTCCCTTCAGCTGTGTAGGCATAAACACAAACATCCTGAACATCGACGAATTCCCCTGGCTGTTGCTGATGTGGCACGTGACGCTCGGGCCCTTGATACCGAAAATGTAGGACGTGCGGTTGGCACTGATGGAGGCTGAGATGCCAGTGCCTCACAAAACAAGATGAGAGGACGTGGAAGGAGCGAAGACAATGAACACAACTGGGCCCTTGTCACACCTTGGTATAGGTGATTCTTACATGCACACCCAGTGCCGGATGTCAAACCTATGTCAAACTCATTCAAACTCCAAGCATGCAAAGTGAAGACCTCCTGCTTGAGAGTCCTCTTTTGAAGTTCCACAAAATTCCATGCCACCTTGTGAACATGAAGGTCCAATGCTGGAACTTTATGAAGAACTCTGCACATGTTCAACGTGTTTGTTCCATGAAAGGGGGGCCACTGGTGTTCACGTCCATTGACCACACCAATCGCCCAACCACGAACTCGTCAAAAACTAACACCACCAACTTGTAATGTTTACCGGATTGGTCGATAAACCCATCCATCACTGCAATGCTGAGTGGTGTTTTCAGGGTAGGTTGATCCTGTTGTTTGGGGCAAAGTGCATGTAGGCCAAGAACTCAGAAGCTGAGCTGAATTGCTGAACTCAGAAGTGTGGAATTGATGGGATTCTTGGGTAAGTTGATCTCCGAATCCATGCAATCAACATATTTGAGGGGTATGGAGGGGTCTATATATACTTGATTAATGAACTTGCAAAAAAGGTCATCTGCGCCTGACCAAATTCCAAAATATTACAAAAGCAGAAGCTTTAGTTTCCCAAAAAAATCTAGGAACCAAATCATTAGTGTGAGCGCTTCTTCAAGGAAGCTACCCCCGCCCTCAGGCGCGGGAGCTTCCTTAAAGAAGCTGAGCTATCCTGCGTCCAAATGTAGTAGCTTCCTCTTGCTAGTAGCTTACCTCCTTTATTTAGTTAAGTAGGCGCCTACTTAATTAAGTAAGGAGGCATGGCCACGGGCCAAAAAGGCTAAAAAGGATGTGTTTATTCATTAAAAAAAAACATGCGTCATGCTGAGAATGGTTTCTAGTGCTTGGCTTTGAGCTGACCCTGTCTTCGGCTCGATGTTGTTGCCACGATGCCAGTGTAGGGGTTGAACTTGTCACCCACACTAACCATCACAAACCTCAGTGACCAGTGCCAGTCCAATTGGTGAAAAAAAACCACGGCCCATTGGCTTAGATGGCTTAGATATGCTTAAACAGTCCAAATCCCGAACAACAAAATATCAACTACAGACTATAGCAACGAACTGTGCTGCTACAAGCGTCTGTGATTACTACAATAGGAACAACTGTTGGAAGTCCTCATGATTCACTTCCGAAGTAGTGGCCGCTAAGGAGCCAATCGTACTGACACTGACCCACGAAGACACCCACCTCTGCACCCATGAGCTGATCCTTGTCTCGGCCTCTCAAGGCAGCTTGTGTCACCGGAAAGCTTCATGAAGTAATGAACAGAATAACAACATGATATAGCAGGTCTACTGCGGGATTCATGTGTATATATATTATATATATATACATAGGCTTTGTTGTTGAAATGAATTTGCATCAAGCTCGGCGCAACAGCATGAGGATGAACATCGGTAGCTAATGTGCAACTACCCTTTAATTGATGGTTTATTGTTGACTAGGCCGTAGGCAGTTTCTCCTCCTAGTTCCAGGGTGGTTGCTTATCACCGCTCCATGAAGCATAGGGTCTCAGAAGAAAAGGATCAAAACTGCCTGATGCTCCCAAACACATTCTCTATCCGCCTGCTGCAGTGAAGGCTGTGTGAGCAGCTTCCAACCTAGGACAATGGCCAGGATGTTTCCCTCTCGTGAGAGGGTCCACAAGGGAGCCATCGGAAGGGATTCCCCAGAAGCACCGTTCAAGAAAAACAATAAATGTAACCTCTCGCTCTGCCATTGCGTGGGAAAACATTGATATGCTCCCGGGTCAAAACGTAACACCTTTGTCAACACCCGAACATGAACAGCATCTTGCCGCAAACGTCAACCTATCAGAGTAACAAGAAGCTATTAGGAACAAGTGCCTTACTAGTAGTAACAAATTAGAATAGGATCAATTTGGTGGTGCTTTTCGTTGGCCGGTTAGATCATCGTCTGCTTCGATCCCGGTTGCTAAGCGTGAAAGAAGGCCCCACGATCTGTGGGGTGACCCGTCCAAAAAACCACAGGATGAGTTGGAAGACTCCAATTGATTGGGCTTCAACAAAAAAGTTGCTGTACCTGAGATCTTAATTGTACATTCACACTTCAAACGACAGTGAAACTGTCTTGAAACACCCCGAACTCAATCTCCCAATCTCTCCCACTTGCCCCACAACGAGTGCACTCCCCGCCAAACCGGTCCCCCCACTGCACTCCGCCAGCCAGGCCACAGCAGCCGCTGCTGCGGGTCGATACTGGAAGCCTCGGCTGCGCTGAGCCCGAAGCAACTGGGATCGAAGAGCTCGGCGCCCTCGATGAAACCGCCGTGCTTGGCATAGGTCTTTCCAGGGGCATCCGGATCCGGACTGTAGTACCTCAAGTGGCTTGCCAGGCGGTTGGGGGTCGGGTGGTTGGTTTGGGTTATTAATTGGGGATCGCGGTGGTTGGTTCAGTTGGTTTGCTTGGTTGATTTCATTAGATGGTGTGGAGATGGTTGACCCTGGGAATTGGAGAAAAGCTGCTGTTGGGGATAGAACGGTGTAGTTGCTGGTTGGGTGTTCCTGATGATTTACCGTGCAAAAACAGGTTTAAGAGAGGGTTCCTTATGGTTTCTTGAGTTATGTCTCAAAACATCTCAAAGCTTATGCTGGTCTGGATGCAAAGCCGATGGTTGCGACATGCCAAGTGGGACTACACGTCCAACATCTTTCACCAGTCCCAGGAGGCGAACTCTTTCCAACCTGCAGGAACCTCGCCATACCTAGGAGGCCATTGCTCTTAATGGAGTGTCTTCCCTCCTGCCCCCTTTTCGAGTACCACATGAATAGGTTATGTGGAAGATGCAGCAACAATTGTCATCACCTATGGTAGTTGGACCTGTGGTCGTATGCTCTGCCAGTGAGACAGGTTTTAGGATTTTTAGGGCAAGAAATGAATGCCCCGAATGAATGGGCCCTCCTACCGAGGCCAAACAAAGGCGGGCCAGGCCACATCTCCAAATCCCAACGAGTGAAGGGGATCTCCACCACCGAGTCCTGGAACAGACTTGTCACATGTCTGTTTAGTGAAGGGCACCAGACTTCTCGAAAAAGAAGAATTTTAATAGTCCTTGTCATTACATGTTAAAAGAAACATCGCACAACAATATGTAACTACAACTGCACTAAGTCATATACATGATTCTAGGTATGATTCTTGCGGTTGTGATTTGCCCGTATTACAGTGGAGTTAAAGTCACCACAATCGGTCTGCAATTTGCAAAAGGAAAAACATAGACTAGACTAACACAACACAACCACTTGTTCAGTATGTTGTTCAAGTAGCGAAACTAGGGATTCCAACAACCCATGAGAACATGAGAAGCCCATTGCAACTCCAGCTAAGAAGAGTTCCATCACCCCTTTCAACGGTGTTCACATAAGCGAATGCTTTCTAAATCTCCTTCATGCAGTTCATATATCTGAGACCCTGCCCAAAATACAGTCTTAAGATATGTTGAACTGTTCAACTCTATACGTTTCCTCCATGATGCAACCTTACAGCTAGAGCGATGCATGGCCGTGGCCACGACCAATGAAGATCCTAGAGTTTGACCCTCTAATGTGCTTCCAATTGGCGAGTGAACCATTCCACTTTGTAATAAGTTATCTCCACTGGCCAGTTGCGGGATCAGCCATTCTAATAACATTACCATCCCAGGTCCCAGGCAGGCCTTCTTCTCCAGCAAATCTTCCCAAAAGCCCTCATCACGTCGCCCCGGCAGGGTCGCTGCCATGCCCGAGATGCTGGCGGCTTGCCCAGCACTGGGGCCTGGTCAAACGCTTTGCCGCAAAGGGCTCCAAGTTGGGTGGAAAACAGACACAACCCATGCAACCCATCCATTACGTCACCTGGACTTGTACGGCTTCTTGCATGCTGTAGATATCTTGCCTGTCCCTTCAATCCACTGCTACGGGTTTCAGCTGCAGTGCTTGGTATATAGTCATCCCTGTGAGTGCACCCAGAGATGGTCAAGATATGTTGCGCTTTGCAAACAGTTCTTCGCCAGTCATCTACCCATGTGGAGGGCCAAGCAATCAAATCTAACATGAATAGAGTATGATGTGAGATTTATACATGTCTATCTCGTCTATCTCCCTATTTGCAAACCCATGCATCGGCATTGTCCCACCTGCAAAGCCACCTTGCACCGCCGCAAAGGCCGCGGCTGAGCCACTGGTGGCTCCAACCTGGGAGGCTGCGAAGTTGCTGATGGCACTGACCGTCGGATAGTCGAAGATCAAGGTGTTCGGCAGCTTCACGCCTGGGGCGTCGGATTGTCGGGTCATCTGCGGATCCTCACGGGACAAAATTATGGACTTCTTGGAGGGTTTGGGGACGGTCCAGGAGGTGTTAATGGGAGTGGACTATATGTAGGAGGATAAAGACTCCCTCTCCAAACTCATGATTGCTTCAAAAGGATTCTTCAATCACCCGCAGCCACAAGACGTACAGTTCAGTTCTGCCACGGGCCATGATCACGGGAGTGTCGGTCTGTCCGTGCCCACCTTGGAGCTCATTGGAGAGCCGATTCCGGAACTCGACCGCTGCCAGTGAATCCATGCCCGAGTCCATCAAAGGCTCCTGGATCAAACGAAGATCCACGGTGGCTTAATGTTGCTTGCACATGCTGTTTATAAAGTCTCATTTGGGGATAGAAACAACGTCCAATACAATATAGGCCAAATGGTTCTTATGTAGTTTTGAGGCAATTCACTTCTTCTCCAAAATCAGGGACAGCCAGGCCGATTCTTTCCCGGCTCCAGCCCCGGCTGGCCCTGAACGGCCAGGACACAGCTCCCTCCTGCAGAACCGCTCAAACCATGGGTGTTTGCTCCTTCGCTCATCACTAAGGAACCAACCCACACTGACCGAGTGGTCCGTTGAACTGAACAGGTGGAACTGTCTGGACAGTCTCCAAATTTGGCAATGCATCTGTTTCCAAGCATTGTTTCCCTCGATATACAGTAACTCTTTGACTCGATCATGTATGTGCTGGTTGTAGTGATCCCCCCTTCCCGGAGAGCTGTCGAGGGTAAGGTCCCGGTAAGGGTGCCTAGCAAATCCACTCACTGGATGGGTCCAACAGCAACTCCAGCTTGGAACTCCTTGCAAAACCACCTCTGACCACGATACGGCCATAGTGTCACTCCTGCGCATCAACGGCGTGCCCGGTCACCTCTCCGGCAATCGCCAAAACCACGGCTTCCACCTCCTGCGCGCTAATGCCGGCAGCCTGGGCAGAAGGATATGTTCAACAGCCCCAGTCACCGCCTCATGCAGATCCCAATCAATGACTGCCACCCAAAACAGACCGTTACATTTCGCGCCTGTGGCTGTGCCTGTGCTGGACTGGCTGAGAGTTGTGAGGCGGCGAACATGCCTTGCCAAGCGACGGCCATCAATGTGCAAAGAAATGGCTGGCGGCTGGATGCCTTGATGATAGGGGAAGCAAGAATGAACAAAGCACATATCAACGTTGGGCTTCATCATGTGTGTCAAGGAATCTTGTCTTCCTGAGCTTGCTAGAAACAGCAAGCTGAGTTCCATACCCCTGTTCAAGCCCACAATTTGGTACTCTGGTCATGAATGCCTGAATCTTCGAGAAACATAATCACATAGTGGCAACCCACGGAATATTCAGCTACCAGGGGTGTACTGTACTTGTTTTGAGTGTAGCCAAAAGTAAACAGTACCATTAGACCAACCCCAAACACTTAAAACAAATGCGTAACAAAGGATACAGGGTTAGGAAAGGGAAAGGGTGTATTCTTGTTGACCCGGGATATGCACAAATAGTTCAAAATGTGTGTTTTCCATTCCTGTGCTCTTGTCTTGCTCCACTTCACAGGGATGGTTTATTATGAGCATCCAACTCCAAGAAACTGATCGCGGAGACAGTAGGATAGTCGAAGATCAAGGTGTTCGGCAACTTGATGCCTGCGCAACGGCTATAATGCAAAACCTCATCAAAGTAATCACCAGCTCAAACCCCACCACAAGGAATAGAAACCTGCACGAGGTGTTCAAGGAACATAGTACGAGTAGCATCCAATAACTATAGTATATTCTGGACTGGCAGCCAATGAAAACTTGTGAGAACCACCTAACCACCCATCAATGGAGATGCACACCTGAACCCCCTGCAAAACAGTGCGAATCATCAATCCCAATAGTAGAGTCCACAAGTTTCTGTTCTGTGACCGTTTTGATGTGGGTCCACGGTGGCCTGGCAACTCATTGGAGAGACGGTTGCGGAACTCGACAGCCTCAGGAAGGACACTGGTGGCGGCATGGCGAAACTAGAAGATGTTCAAGCAAGGAACAGTTTCATGGAGAGTTCCCCTCACCTTTGCTGCCTTTGCTGATATAACGAAGGTTGTCTTCTTGGGCTTCTAGCAAAAGAGTGATCTTTTTGGGACTGTGACTAAGCTGGGAAGGAGGATGCACTTCAAGTCGGCGTGGTCTTTCCAAAATATGACCAACATGTACAGTACTGAAATGTCGTTGTGGACTCTTCGACTCAATGTGAAAACATACGTAGGCAGTCTGTAGGATGGCGATTAGCGGACACATGCGCAGCAAGCCAAAAAAACAAAGATACGAGATCTGGAATCCTGGTCACTACACAAAACACACCTGCTCCGAAGAGGATTCCCAAAAAATGCACCCGAGAAGTACGGAAAACATAATAGCTGAAGGTTGAAAAAAGTGGCGGTGCTCGGCCCCGGTTTAGGGATTCCTGACAAAGAACCAATCAACAAACGCTCAGGTTTATCATTCAAGTTCTATCCACTCAAGCATCTCGATGTACGAAAAAAGAGATACGAGCCGGATAGGAGTCAGAACAAGAACCCATGGAACTAGCCAAACACTTCAAATCTTTGGTCATCTTTGGACCATAATCAGTTTCCTTCCAAACAAACAAGTTTCAACATGTTAATCCAGTTGTTCATCTTCTTTTCCGGAATCTGGGGCCACAGAAACCGGTCATTTGATCTGCAAACGAAGCTGCGGAGAGCGAGTCCATGCCAGCTTCCATCAATGGTTCCTGGACGTTTCGTCATGCTCGTCTGGGAGCTGAACAAAAATGGATAAAAATGGAGAATTTCCGCAAGACCTAGGAACAAGTGCCACGCTAGTAGTAACAGGTGCCTTACTAGTAGTAACAAGAAGCTACTAGGAACAAGTGCCACGCTAGTAGTAACAGGTGCCACGCTTCTAGGAACAAGTGCCTTACTAGTAGTAACAAGAAGACTTGAAGAAAAACAACTAAAAAACAACACCTGGCACTGCACTGGAACCACGCAAGAAGTCCGCTCCTATTGTAATTGAAAGGGCCACTCAATTTCATTGGAGTTTCAATTTCTGGACTAAGCTCCCTAGATAATCCTAAAAAAAAGCACACCTAGGAAGAATTGGTTCATGTCCAACAAAACCGCCCAAACGCAGCACCCCAAAAAGACCCTGTCGAGTCCTGCGCAGCCACCACACTACCTGTGACTTCTCCAGCCACTGCCAGGACCATGGATTGCACCTGGCAGTCGTGAAGCTTGAGACTGTGCATCCTGGAGCACAACACACCACCTGACTTTGGCAAACGGTTGGGTACGTGTGGCCGCCGGATGAACTGCCAACAATTCTTACAGCTATTAAATTGTATGGCAGCTCATGGGGCAGCGGGTGCATTTATCTTCATCGTTAGATCTATCTAGTTTACAATATAGTAGGGAATAACGTCCGGAATCCACCCCTGGAAATGAACATCAAAATGACAAGTTTTCTCACCGTGCTCATTCAAATACGAAAAAGTTGCCAGTGGCTCGAGCCTGGTCCGCACTCACGGCTGGCGCTGCCCGCGCGCCCAGCGCCAGCGCCCGACCACCCGTAGGGCCAGCAGGGCTGGCCGATGCGGCCTCGCGGCGGAAGCCTTGGGGCGTCAAGGGGGTGGCATCGCGAAGTTCATCATGGAGTTCATCTATACATTTATGTGTATATATATAATATATAGCCAGGTTTAGGATCGGAGAGATTCATGAAAAATCAATGTATATAGCTGGATTCTAGTATAATAGGACCAATGCTAAAACATGGTCTGGTCAAACCTAATCGATGGTAGGGCCGGACCGTAAAAGGACTATCACTTGGCAGAGCGATAGCGAGGTTTACAAGAAACCTTTCACGTGACGAGGCTACCTCAGGTGAACATGGATCTCCAACTCGCAACCCGCTTCCGCCGTCCGGTCTTTCGTGCTGCTGTGCCACGAGAGTAGAATGGAGGCACTGCCTTGCCAAACCTCAGTGTGACCCACGGAGTCCCTTGTTGTACTTATCTATATTATACAATGACATCAAATAACATAATATCATATATAATATATATATATATATATACACAGTATTTCTGCGCGTCTTCCGTTGCTGTCTGTCCTCCAAGTCCTGTTTTTTTCACCCAGCTATTTTATGACCACTTCGCTTGACACACAAAAAGAAGCAGTATCAGTAATCAGCTTCTCATGGCTTAAGGTGACACAAAATCATCATCCTCCCTGCCAACCCTCGCTGTTATTCTCAGACCCTGGGGTGAATACCCAGGGTCTAGACATAACCATTTACGTATACAACCTAAACTGTGCATAGTACTCTTTGTAGCAATCACAAACATTACAGGGGAGGTTGGGACCATGGCGTTCCTCCAACTGGGTTGTGTTTGAGTCTATATTTTGTACCCTCGATCAATCTCAATTACAAAAGAACAACTATCCAACGACATCCAAAGACTAAAAACATCTCACAAATCCTGGGAGATCCTGGGATCGTCCGAAGTGTTGTCCTGCCCCAGTGATCCTGCCCAGGCCCATACTGCTGTCTGAGGAGCTGCTTCAGGTATTGGCCCCAATGAACTGGACATGCGGCCACCACGGGTGATGCGGAGCCCAAGGCGCCTGCAAGAGCAGCCATACCCACCTGCCGGATGACGCTGTCTAGGGTGTGCTGGGTGGTGGGAATCTGGGTGCATGGGTGGATGATCAGCGGATCTGTGGGTGAGTGCGCAGTGGAGATGAACAGTCTTCCTTAGTATCCTTAGTGTTAGTGTTACTCTTAGTGTTCAGTCTCATGAAATTCCTTTTGTGCGGTGTCTGACTTTCATAATCTCTCTCGGGCTGCTCTTGCTACTTGGATCAGAGGTGATGTAGCTGTGGAGAAGCCAGCAACAAGGGCACCAGCAGATCCATCACAGGTCTTCTCTTGGTTCTGCAGAAATTGCAAATCTAGGTGTCCAAAGCTATATTTATGTTCCATTCACCAACTGCTTTGGTAGGAGAACGATTCTTGAGCTATGATCTGATAGCTGTTAAAATGGAGAATGTTCCTGAGCCACCACTGGTCTTCGTCACAACCTTGCAGTGTCCTTGGGCCTCATTCAAAGGTAACGAAGGGAACAATAAATATAAAACTAGAACTCGAAGGCTCCTGGGAATGTTTCGGGAGTGATTATCTGCCTGGCACCTGCCACCCAACCTTTTCAGATTTGTTTGTTTGTGGTCAGCCAAACTCATATCTAAAGCCTGATTATGCTTCACTCCTTTGATAAGATCTTGGAAACTGGTTTGCTTGAACTCCGTTCAGCGTCAGGCCGCCGTGTTGCCGATGGATCCCAAGCCCTGGGACTTCAGGCGCTGGACCTGGAGGCCGAAGCCGCGAGTAACGCTGGACCAACACAAAAAGCACATCCCCAAGTTCGACGCAATTTGTCAACGGCCAATCTTCTACGGCATGAAACTGAAGAGGTGAAACACTTCTAAACCCCAGCCCTCAAGGTCGATATCAAACTCCTTCAGTTTGGATGGACGAGGGGCTTTCTCTGCAAGCTCTCAAGTCCTCTGCTGGAGTGATTGTCATCCTTCTGGAACACTTTCATCCTTTTTAAATCTCTACAAAAAGCCACCGCCAACTCATCCTGGCTCCAACCAAGAAGCTACTAGGGGCTCCTGGCCTTACTACTAGGAACAAGAAGCTACTCACCAACTGATCGCTCCGCCCACCGCTAACTGCGCCAAGAGGCCGTTCCCTTGTTTGCGGCCATGCCCACTTCCCGCCAAGGGCCCCACTGCACGGCAACCACCGTCTCGCCCAAGGCCTCACTGCTTATGATCTCAGGGGTTTGGACAGGTGTTTCTCTGTGAGGCCATTCATCTTTCCATACATCCTTCTTTCATACAAATTCGAGAAATTAACTAACAATCTATAGAAAATTGCCGTGCGCCGTGCGCTGCCGGCCTTCCAGTAACGCGCGTGGGCATCCAGTGCCATGTTGGCTGCCGAATAGTTGCCCTGCCCAGGTGAACCTCAGCACGTCTCACACGCCGTGGCCTTGCCGAGGCCTTAAGGGCATTTTGGAACCCAGGAACAAGGACGTTACTAGGGGCTCCTGGCCTTACTACTAGGAGCAAGAAGCTACTAGGAGCAAAGGGCAACGCTCCCAACCCATCTGATCCACTGTCTTGATAGGAAGAGACGGCATGGACCACTAAACTTCGAATTCTTGGTATTTTGGGGTAATGTGCAATGCGGTGTACTGATGCTCGGGATACGACACGTGTATAACATCACACTCGATCATACCTCGAAACAGAACAGCTCCAGCTCCATTTAGTAAGTGGTTCAAAACCTCATCAATTCCTGGGTGGTACACTCCAAGTCGTGTCAGGGATCCACTTGATTCACCCACCCAGGATCATCGCGGCCGAGATGCCCAGGAGAGCAGAGGTCGAGGAGAAGAGCATGGAGAAGTCCAAAGGCTGTGCCTGAACATGTGGCTTGAAAAGCAACTGTGCGAGCAAAGGCCAAACATCCATCAAGCAAGGAGCCTATTAAACACTATGAATACATGTTGATCATGTATTGGTCCTCAAGTAGCTGTAGTGTTCATGAGACGATTCCAAAGTGTTTTCCCAAATACTAGTAGCTAGAAACTTTAGGGGTTATGTGTCATTCTCTCATCCCAAATGCATCCAAATGCGTGTCAGTGTAATTATCCTTTACAACTATCCACTATCCTTACGTATTTGTGATAATCAACAATGTTTCATCTTTAATCTGCTCCAGGACGACTCTAGAATCTCCGAAACTCTCGTGTTTGACCTGAAAAACCCTCTGGCCTTGGAGAGGCAAAGCCGCAGATGTCGGGCTCCAAAGACCTCGCAACACGCGGCGTCTTCTTGGTGGACCATGTGGCGTCGGATTGGGAATGAACCCACAGCACCATGAACACGCTCATGAAGCTAATTGATGAGCGTGTAGGGGTACGGATGTTGGGTACGGTATATGAATGGCATCATTTTGTTCAATAGAACTGAACTACAGCCCAATGGCACCAATGGTTCGGGGCTCTCCCCAACTTTGTACAAACCAAAAGCGTCAGAGTGGCTAAGCATGGCCCAACTGATCGAGCAGTATTCCCTCAAAATAACAAATGTACATTAAGGGCTCAAGGACAATCTCCTACGAAGCATCAAGCAGAGCAACGCGCCTTCGCACCGTAGGCTTTCTCCAAGTGCCTGTCGCGGTGCACGGTCTTTCGTGTTCCGAATGGCTCGCAACAAACTGAAGATTCAGCACAATCGATTTCAAAAAACAAAAAGAACATGGTACAAAAGCAGTTGCGTGGGCATTGGAGAAGTTCATTCCACATTTTTTTGGAGTCAGCTACCACACGCCTGAAGGGTTCAGGGTGACGGATCAAACGTAAAATTTGTTCTGCATCTTGCTACATATTGTGCCGCAAGAGCTGGTACTGGGGTCCTTTAGGTACATGCCCTAGCCAGATCTGCCGGGAAGACCGGAAGAAGAAAAACATGCTACTCGACAAAGCATTAAAAAACTGGTTGATCATGTTGGTGGAGCAAATCGCCTGCTGGGAAGAATGATTATGGTGTATCCCTCGGTATTGCGGTGAACTGTGCATCAGGCGTATTGACTTCAGAGGACTGTAAAAAAAGGGACATCATTCCAAGCCTTTCAATCTGCAACAAGGTGCCGTCAACTCACAGCAATGATGGACAATCCCTCCAGAAGTCTAGCCATGCAACCCCTTTTGTGGCACAAACAGATGTTCTCCGCACTGTAACGCTGCCATCGCGAAATCTGCCTGCGTGTGAGCTTTGGCAAGGTAGCATCGTCCAAAACAGCGGCCAAATGGATCAGTCCGCGCATGCGGTAGCTGTTGTCCAGGCTCATCACCATCTCCTTTTGATCTGGAGTATGAGTAGGGCCTGTAGGGGATAGTGGCGCATCAGACGTTATGCTGATGTGGCTGGGCAGAGCTGTGGGTCGAAACCTCCTCCTGCATGGTAACCCTTAAAAAATGTGGGAATGTGCACGTGCAAACTTGTGGTGAAACATTCAGAAGTTGATAAAGAAGTATTTCATCTGGAAAGCAGTAAATAAGGCCGGCCTTACGCGACTCACATGTTTGCCTACGCGGTACACTTGGAGCAAGAAGGGCTTACGCAAACCAAATGACACTCTTGTAGGACACTCTTGCGGGACACTCTTCTGGGACACTCTTGTGGGACACTCTTACACGACACTCTTGTAGGACACTCCTTGTGGGACACTCTTATAGGACACTCTTGTGGGTCACTCATATGGGACACTCTTGTCGGACACTCTTGTGGGACACTCTTGTGAGACACTCTTGTAGGACACTCTTGTGGGTCACTCTTACAGGACACTCTTGTAGGACACTCTTGTAGGACACTCTTGTGGGACACTCTTGTGGAACACTCTTGTAGAAAACTCTTGCGGGATACTCTTGTAGGACACTCTTAAGGGACACTCTTGTGAGACAGGGTCACTCTTACAGGACCCTCTTGTAGGACACTCTTGTAGGACACTCTTGTGGGACACTCTTGTGGGACACTCTTGTGTGACACTCTTGTAGGAAACTCTTGTGGGACACTCTTGTAGGACACTCTTGTGGGACACTCTTATAGGACACTTTGTGGGACACTCTTGTGGGACACTCTTGTAGGATCTTGTAGGACACTCGTGTGGGTCACTCTTGTAGGAAACTCTTGTGGAACACTCTTACAGGACACTCTTGTGGGACGCTCTTACGGGACACTCTTGTAGGACACTCTTGTGGGACACTCTTATAGGACACTCTTGTGGGTCACTCTTATGGGACACTCTTGTCGGACACTCTTGTGGGACACTCTTGTGGGTCACTCTTGTAGGAAGCTCCTGCGGGGCACTCTTTTGGGACACTCTTGATACCACAAATCATCCCGCTCACCAGCCACACGCCGCGTTTACGCCAGCATGTTTCGCGCTCCCCACTAACACGGCGCCACGCAAACGCACTTTCCACCAAGGCCGCGCAAATCCCAATGGCACTGCGTCACGAACGTCGCGTCGCCACACGGTCTGCCCAAACACTAAAAGCAATCATGTCACATGATACCACAAATCATCCCGCTCACCAGCGACACGCCGCGCTTACGCCAGCCTGTTTCGCGCTCCCCAGTGGCACGGCGCCATGCAAACGCACTTTCTACCAAGGCTGCGCAAATCCCAATGGCACTGCG